GTTAAGTTTAGAGTTAAGGCACTTCTTTTTTGTCTCAGGGCTTTGGAGGAGCCTCAAGCACTAGTCAGTTTCTATCACTGAGAAAAAAAAACCGCAGAATGAAGGCGGAACCATTTACCGAAAGATGCTTCAGTTGCCAACATAAATGGCAAATCAGTGGCACCCAAATAGAACTAAAAGCCTGACAGATTTTATACAATTTGAGGCTGCTCTGGGACAGTGTTGGAATAAGGGGGAAGTACTACTGTATTGTAAGGCTGGTACAGTTAAGGGCAACTTAAACCTATCTCATTCATAAAGGGGGCCACGTTGAAGGTAGTGCTAGAGAAATAGCAGGAAATGGGTATTCCTAAGGCAGCACAGGGCAGGGCCGTACTTACATGCAAGTCGGGAAAGGCTCTGAGCCTTTTCTCGCAAGTTCAAAAATTATCCCAAAGCTGCATATATTTTTCCACCTTTTTCCAGCATTTGAGCTTTCTGCTATTCCCAATCGAGGGAAAAAAATCCACCCAAGGTTTACTACAGCATGTAGCAGGAAACCAGGCCTTTTCAATATTTGTGAACTAAGCCCAAGTATAAACTAGAACCCTCGTTCTCATTTGAACTTCCTTCCCAGTGTTTGGCGTGCAAAATGTACAGCTTCGTTCTAAACATGGCACTCACTCGAAACGTGTAATCCAGCTGCTGTGCCTTTCTTGGCTCTTGTTGTTTCCTGTTGTCATGTGGTCGTAATGTCACAGTGTCAGTAAAAATCACAGGCAGAATCAGCCTTCTAAAAATGCATACAATTTCAGCAGCTTATCAGGGTAAGATTCCAGGCGTTATAAGCACAGTGTTCCTGGCTTTTATTTGACAGCTCTTGAGCTGCCTCCTTTTCTATCTCCCGCCTTCTTTTAAATATCATACATTTTCCTTTGGCTGCCCTGGAAAGATCAAATTCTGCCTTCGTGCCTTGGTTTGGAGGTGTCTTTAAACTCATTTGTTTGGTCTGAATATTATGTTAAGATTGTTTAAAAATCGAGGAATTCTTTGGTGTGAAATTAGGCACCTGCAGGAACAGAAGGTGTGCAGAAATAAAGCTCTCTGTCACTTTACGGGGCTGGAATGGTTATGTCTGAATTGGCCCCATGGACTGAAGTTATACTTTCTTTTCCAGTTTCCTTGTTTGCCTGAGATACATGAGTTACTACCATTATCCTCAGCTAACATATATAGAGTATCCCATCATGATTGTGCAAGGTAGGACTTGTTCCTCATTCATTACTGCACCATTCTTTTGTTTTTCTCAATCATGCAGAAATTAATTTTATTTTGTTTCCTTTCAGATATCATTCTTTGCCTGCTTGTTCTGCATTACAATGGCAAAATGAAGCATGCTTTGCCTTACACAGTCATGTATCCTTTACTTACGGATTTGTTCATTTCCATTTACACAGCATTTCTGGCAGTTGTTCCTGAATCCCATATTTAGAATTAAGCGACATTCCCCCTTCCCCCATGTTTCTAATTTGATGTTCACATGTTCAGGATCTTACCCAAACATTTTCCAGTGGATTAAGGAGCTTCCTTGGCGATTGATGTTTCTTTAGTGGACTGTAAGGGCTCTGTGAGAAATTTTCAAGCGTAGCATGGTGGGGCTGCTTTTAATTCAGGGATGAGGAAAGATGCAGTCGAGGTGAACACAGATGCTTCATTTGTACACTCTGAAAGCCTTTTTTGAACTCTTTCTGAAGTGCTTCACAATCCTAATTTCTAATCCTTATTTGGATTTGCTAACCTACACTTTCTTGGGGAAGCTGTGGGCCTGTTTCTGCAGTTTTGCTGAACATGCACAAGTGAAAGCAAATTGTTAATTAACGATTCTAGGCTTATTAGTTCACTCATCTTCTGATTTTTAATGTAATGTATGTGGATGTCTGTGTTAAAGGTAGTTGAAAGCAGTTGTATATCAAAAGGATTGCAAGTAAGGAAAGGAGAAAAGCACAATAAAGTGTCTGAATCAATTAAAATCAGATTATGTCATAGATCTACCAAGCATCCTTCTAACCTCCACCTGCATTATGTATCTTAACCTGAAAGGTTAGATTTGTGGCAGGATGGTATGCTATATCTCTGCAGAAATGGATATTGGACTTGAGTATGGTAAGGAATTGAAAGAACGTGCCTATACGGTTGCATTCTAAACGGTTGCAGTTTTTAATGGGAAAACACCATGAAACGTGTGAGGTAGGAACTTCATGGAAGTGAAAAGCCAGAAGCTCATTGCTTATCGTCTGTTTTCCTTGACTTGAACTAAGAGACATCACTACATAGTGTTCTGGCATATGCTTTGAAACTGAGTTCATCTACATTTTGTGTCGATTCAAAAGATGTTGCTCTTTATGCCATTACGGGTGTCTGCAGGGAGACAAAGAGGAGGGCAAGTGACATCATGTGGCTGGTTTGGGTCCGCACTGTATGCTATGATAACAAAATAGCTTGATACTTCAAGCCTAGCAGACCATAAGAGAGAGTCTAATGGTTTCCTTCACTGTTTTGATATTTCATTAAAGTTTGGAAACGTTCTATGGGAACACTGGTCACCATATATGCTTTGAAATAACTTAGCGTCTGCTTGCTTTGTTGTAAAGCCATGCAAGTCACAGTGGTCTAAAAACATGGAAACTTGGAAACCATAGGATAGAAATTGTATCAGAAAATTCAAGTTAGTCTAGCTCTTAGTCGCTAAGAAGAGATAAACATGTTTAGTTAAAATGATCATTTGACCTTGGGAGTGGCAGCTTCACTGCACTGTGCATAAGTACCACTATTAATAAAAAATAATATTTTTTCTTTTTTCCTGAATTGGGGGAGAATTCTTTAAAAAAAAACCTATGTCAAGCTTATTTTAGGGTATAAAGTAATTGCCACCAATTTTTGGCAGTTGTAGTCCTCATGGTGACTGGAGTGCCAGGTGTAGCCCTAGGGCCTCAGATTCTCTGCCCTGGGGCAGGAGTACACTAGCCTGCCATCAGCCCACTAGTGTTGGCCAAATTCCTGGCTGACTGAATGGTGGCCTGGGCCAACATAATCCAGGCCAGTTTAGGACCACCTG